GGTTTCGGGTTTAGGGTTGAAGGTTCAGGGCTTAGGGTTTAGGGTTTAGGGTTCAGGGTTTCGGGTTTCGGGTTTAGGGTTGAAGGTGGTAAGAAGTACCTACACCCTCTTTCGTTTCCATTCCCTCGTTACGGTAAGCCCTTCCTTGAAGGCATCCATGGATGTCATGGCCAGCTGGAGGCTGTTCAGGCTCGACTTCATTGTCTGGGCTTGCCTTTCTTCGGCTCGCTTAGCCATCGCATCTTCGATTGTGCCATCGGTGAGGTCTTTGATCGTTACCCTTGCGATCGTTGCGGCTGCCCGGGTGCGCTCTTTCTCCTGCTTGATCGCATTGATCACTGTCTCGGAAGGGCGGAGCGGCATCTTCGTAGACGTATCCCTGAAGATCTCCGAAGCCGTTATGCTTGGCACACCCTCTGCTTGCTCAATCGCCGCGAACTCCGTGGCTGCAGTCCTCAAAGCTGAGCTCGATGTCGTAATCGGCGGCGCTGGCAAGTCGAATGCATGGCCCCAGGCTCCCATCAACAGAGAGTACTCCCGGAGCCGGATCGTCGACTCCTTTGCAACCTCGATTGACGAGCTGTCAACCAGTCCTGCATACCCTCGGTCAAAAGTCAATTGAAGGGCCGAGTGCATCAGGATGTCTCTTTTCGACCGTCTTGATGCACCCATAGATATGTGCCTACACCCTCTATTGTAGGAGTTAGGATTAGGCGGACCCTTAAAAATAAAAAATCCTCTGAATACGGTCCCGTTTAAGAGAGCCATAATGTAGGGTTAAGAAGGATCCCCTTTAAGGGGTCTCCCTGGCCCTAATGCTACCTAGGATATTAGGGTTTGGGGTTTAGGGTAATCAAAGTATGAAGCAACGACGGAGATTCAGATCCAGCAACATCCCCGAAGCCCCCGAATGGCCCCGAAACCCGAGCCTGCAAACCCATGAGGTAATGCATTTGTTTGGACCTCGACAAAATAGGTCCGATGCCGAACCTGCCTGAAACCTCTAAACACTCAGGGTTCAGGGTTTAGGGTTCCTGGGGCTGAAGATTTTGGTTTGTGATTTTGGGTTAGGCTCGAGGTTTAGGGTTCAGGGGCTCAGGGTTTCAAGGGACCTTCGATGGTTCTGCGTGCAGACTCCTACAGTACTCCCAGACCCTCGACCTTGCCTGAACCTGAACCCTCTTTTCCCAGATCCACCTTGTTAGTTCATTCCTTTCTGAATAACCCCGCACAGGTTGTGACTTAGACCTCAGAATACGGGAACCCAAGCATGTTTGAAGGCTGAGTAAGATTAGGACTTAACCCTAAACCCTAAACCCTAAACAGGGTTTAGTGTTTAGGTTTTGAATCCTCTTGAAATCGCTTGTAACCAGCCTTACGAAAACCGAAAGCCATCGAAGCTCGAAGGAAACAAGACAAAAAAACCCTATACATACCACATAACAGCCCTGCCAGGCCCTAGCGTCCAAACACGAAACCCTAACACCTAAACCCTAACACCTAAACCCTAAGCCCTGAACCCCAAACCCTAAAACCTACACCCTAAACCCTAAACCCCAGAACCCTAAAGCCTAGAACCCTAAACCCTAAACCCCAGAACCCTAAACCCTTAACCCCAGAACCCTAGAACCCTAGAGCCCTAAACCCTAAACCTCCGAACCCTGAAGGCTCTGAAGCCTCTCCCAAAAAGAACGAAATGCAGAAAGCAACCGTGAAACAAAGAAAGCAAGGCCCCCTAAACCCTAAATCCTAAATCCTAAGCCCTTAACCATAAACCCTAAACCCTAGATCCTAAACCCTAAATCCTAAACCCCAAACCTTAAACCCTAAACCCTAAACCTTTAACCCTAAACAAACCCGAACCCCTGGAGCTTTCAAAGTGAACACCGAACAACGACCTCCCAGGTCTCATCGCTGGAGACCTCCTTGCCGCCGGAAGTCAGCCTGATACATAAAGGAGCGCTACCCATAGGCCCTAAAGTAGTTCCTTTTTGGGGTTCATATATAGAATCCTATGAGGTAACAAAAAAGGAACTACTATGGGGCCTATGGGTAAGGACTAGTCTGGGTAATACTTGGAGATTATTCACACTTGTTGGGTAGTTCTCTGAATTGGGGTCCTTCTTAGGGCCCTGTTTATAAGGGTGCCGTACTATTTTGGGGATCTAAAAGGGGACCCTAATTTAGAAAACTACCCCTGAAATGCTTCATTTTCGGAGTGCTTAGGGTTTAGGACGAGGGCTTTAAGGTTTAAGGTTTGCGGTTTAGCGGCCCTGAAACGGTACACCTTTAAACCCTCAACCCGTAGCGTTAAGAGTCGAGGGTTTAAAGAGAGAGCTCCATCAGAAGAAGGGCCTCCCTTCGGGCACGGCTGTGTTTCTTGCAATCTGGATCTTACTAGTTGGCGTCTACGGCTTATACGGCTCACAGGCTTTATGCGGCTTATATAAGTATAGGAAAATAATGGGGCTTTGGGCTTGTCGGGTTATTATCCGGTTCTGAGTTTGTGCCGGAGCACTACAAACCCCGAACCCTAAACCCTGCAAGCCCCCGAAATTGCGAGCCCATCGCGGTGCCTCACCGTGAAGATGGGACACTCCAAGGCCTTTGCCACCTGGAGTCTCCGTGTCGGGTTGGAGGTTTAGGGTTTAGGGCTTAGTGCTTGGGTTTAGGGTTTAGGGTTCAGGGGTCGGGCGATTCTTTGCAGCAATTGATGCATTTAGCTGTTAAAATCTTGAAACGTTCAGGTGTCCAGCGCATGCCAGCGGTTTCGGGCTGCTCCGGGATTCAAAAGGTAAAAATCGAGGTCTTAATGATGAAAAATAGGGTGTTGGGGTACATTATCTTATGATTCAATATAGGGACGACAACGTGAACCTCGTTGTTTCCGCGAGGATCGGGCCAAGTAGGTCTGTAGCAGAAGGAAAGTTTACGGGAAATCGTTCAAAACCCTAAACCCTATATTACCAACATCCTGTACCCCGGACCCGAAATTACCAAAATTAACTCGTATATAACAAAAAAAGCACTTTAACACAAAAAGTCGTAGGAAACTTAGAGTACGCTTATGAAGCCCCGGGGCACCGAGCGCCTGCAGCCGAAGACTTCGCACCACCCCGCCCTCGAGATCCTATCGGAAAGCGGGGTTTAGGGGAAGCTGTTTCGGGTTTAGGGTTTAGGGCATCCTATCGGAAAGCTGTTTGGGGCTTGGGGTACAGGTAAGAAACCCCGGGCATTTATTAGGGTTCTTGATACGAATATTAGCATTGATATTTTGGCCTATATATATATGTATATACATACAGGTAGGGCCAGGGATTTCCGTATCAGGCTGTGCTACCTAGGCCACGTAGACGGACCAAATTGTTGGCTTGGGATGCAACAACTAGGTACTTGAGTTCGGCAATTTGGTAGTCTAGGCTCGGAATTGCGGACGATATGCTTCTCGGGGCGCAGCTGCCTGAGAAGCGGCTTTAAACGTAGGTGGGGAGGTGGTGGTGATCTAGGGGTTTTATTGGGTCCCAAAGCGGGTTTCAAAAGGATCTTGACAATATGGGGGTTTCCGAAAATAGGGGACCCTAATATAGCACCCTAAATAGTAGGATCCTTATTAAGGACCACAAAATAAGGTACCCCCTATTTTCGGAAACTCCCACATTCGAGGTTTAGGGCTTAAGGCCGGACGTAGAGTTCGGGGCCTGGCGCCTAAAGTAGGGTTTAGGGTTTAGGGTTGAGGGTTTAGGGTTTAGGGTTTAGGGTTTAGGGGTCTATAGTAGTAGTGTGGTTCGTCGCAGTCGCAGTCGGACTGTGAGCCGCGAGTTCCCTCAAGCTTCAGATCCGGCGGGGCAGCAGCGAGGCCACGTCCGCCTGACCCTAAACCTTAAATCCTAAACCCTAAACCCTAAATCCTAAACCCTAAATCCTAAACCCTAAATCCTAAACCCTAAACCCTAAATCCTAAATCCTAAACCCAAAGTCCTAAACCCTAAACCCTATGTATTTGATCATGCCCTGGTGGGTGACGGAGACGGAGCGCCTCGGCAAGACAGGTGTCGAGATCTCGCCTTGTCGCTCGCAAGATCTTGTCACCATGCCCCGCAGGAAGGTTGATGCTCATGTAGGGGCCTTAATAATTAGAACAGGGTTTAGGGTTTAGGGTTCAGGGTTTAGGGTGTGCATTATATCTTAGGGGCTGAGTACCTTAGCCCAAAAAAGGTT